ATGCTGATTAATTCGCCCGGTTTGTATCAATTCTATGAACAATAGGTTAGCTCTTTCCATTTTTGTTACGATTCAATCTCTTCAAAAGCTAATTTCTCAGTCTTATCTAACCTTGAATAAAACAGCAAAATTGAGTTAATTGAAATCCTTCTGTGACACCGATTGCACCATTAAAATATTAGATTTTGGTGAAGAAACCAACGATCTCAAGGATTTAGCTGATGAGTTTTGCTCATATGCTTGTTCCTACATGAAAAATATCCAATTATAATATGAACGACTAGCCTCTTAAGAATGCTACCATACACTATCATAACTAGTATTAAATTATTTAAACTGTAAAGATCTACAACTTTTTACATTTTTTGTATACTAATTGGAGCACATGCATCGCATGTAGGGTGTCTGCGAGTCAGCACAGTATAATTTCTTCTATTTTTAACAGCAAATGTATTTCCGGGAATTCGGAAACTATGTGCCTTTAAGCCCCCTTTTTTTTGCTAAAAATGCATTTTAAAATAGTAGATTGATAAAAAATGCGTGATTAAAAAATAAGGAAATTTTTTGAATTTGCATGTAGAGCCTGTTTGAGTCGTATTTTGATTGAAGAATAAATTTTAAAATAGTAAATTGATGGAAAATGTGTAACGAAAAAATAAGGAAAAATTTTGAGTTTTCGTGTAATATTATTCTATTTAAAAATGTGTGGTTGAAAAGAAGAGAGAAAAAATGTATTTTAAAAATAATGAGGATCATACAAGGATGTAATATTTTATTAAAAATGTGTGATTGAAAATAAGAGAGATAATAATTTATTTTAGAAATAATGAGGTCAAACAAGGGCTATATATGTTAAATTAACCCATACCAAATTTTAGGGGGATTTCCTTAAATAGTCTAGTCAGCCGTAATGTTCGGTAACATGTGTTAATAGTCTTGAATGCCCTTCATTTGAAATATCTAAAATGTTTAATTTGAAACTAAAAATTTACCAAATCCCCCAAAAATAAATCCCACTCTCATTCTCATTTTTCATACTCAATTTAAAATCAACGGTAAAATAGCATGATGCATTTTTAAAAGACTAAGAGCCATTTTAACTAATTACGTGTTCGTTTCACTATATATTCCTTCATATCCACATTAAAATTAATGAATTTTTTAAATTATATTTAGAGTGAAAATGAGAGCTTGTGACACAAAATGACGTGTTGTCATTATAAATGGTTCGGTGACATTTTAACTAATTTTTTGTCTGTTTTCTTTATATTCTCTTTTACTCACATGAAATTAAATGTAGACAAATTTTCAATATATTTAGAGTGAAATTGGGATTTCGTAACACAAAAGGGCATGTTGTCGTTTTAAATAGCTGGGTGTCGTTTAAACTAATTTCTTATCTGTTTCACTTTATTTACACTTGTATCCATATAAAAAAGAACGAATACAAGTTTTCATTACATTTGAACACTAGAATCGATACAAAGTTTCATGAGATGATGACCAAGACTGTTGTATTATGAGTAAACTACACTAGATTTAACTACGAATAAAGGTAAGTAACCATATTTGATTATGGGCTTGTTTGAGCCCCATTTTTTTAAAATGTAGTTTGTAATAGTGTTATGATGGAAAATGTGTAGTTCAAAAATAAGAAAAAACGTTTTGAATTTACGTATAATATTATTTTATTAAAAAATGTGTGGTTTAAATGATGTCAAATCACTATTTAAAGATGGATTTTGATGAAAAATGTGGCTCAAACAAGGGCTATATACCAATTATGAGATAAAATAATCAACAAATTAGCTCGTTCAACTTGTATAAATCTTCTAAAATGTTCTAAGATATGATTGACTAATTTTCAAGTGAAATCGATATTTCAAGACCCAAAATGTCAGACTATCGTTTTAAATAGTTGGGTGTCGTTTCAACTAATTTTCTATCTGTTTCACTTTATTTTCATTCTTATCGACAAAAAAATGAACGAATGTAAGTTTTCATTACATTTGAAGACTAGTGTTGATAAAAAGATCACACGATAATGACCAACCATATTGTTTTGTGAGTAAGCTACACTAGACTTAACTATGGACGAAGGTAAATAACTCAAATTCGATTATATTCTAATTATGAGATAAGAGACTCAACAAACTAACTCGTTTAAATTGTACAAGACCTCTAAGATATTCCAAAATATGATTGGCTAGTTTTGGAGTGAATAGAGATCTCATGATCCAAAAAAGCATGCTATCGGTTGGGTGCCTTATCAAGTATTTTTGTGTTCGTTTCATTTTATATTCACTCATATCCATATAAAAATAAATGAGTGCAAGTTTTCATTACAATTGGATACCAAGGTAGATACAAAAGTTTACCTGACAGTAACCAACATATTATTCCATGAGTAAATTAAACTAGACTTCACTGCAAACGAAAGTAAGTAACACGAATTTAATTATATTTCAATTATGAGATAAGATACTCCACAAATTTAGCTTGTTTAATTTGTACAAGTATTCTATGATGTTTAAAAATATGATCAAATAGTTTTGGAGTGAAGTCAAGACCCTGTGACCCAAAATGATATACTGTCATTTTAAATGACTAGATATCGTTTCAACTAATTTCATGTCACTTTTACTATATGTTCACTCGTATCTACTTGAAAACCAAAGAAGACAAGTTTTCATTATATTTGGATAACAGTCAATACAATATTAACATGATAGTGACCAACACCATCATTACCTGAGTATACTACACTTTACTGCAAATGAATATAAGTAACTCATATTTCATTATATTTCAATTATGAGATAATATACTGAATAAATTAGTTCGTTCAACATTTACAATTCTAAGATGCTTTAAACTTTGACCGACTAGTTTTGGAGTAAAATTGAGACCCTTTAAGTGTTTGGGTGTCATTTTAATTAATTTAATGCCCGTTTCAATTCATGTTCACTCATATTCACATGAAAATGAGCAAAAATAAGTTTTCACTAGTTGTTGAATTTAATCTTTAAATTGTAATGATTTTTAATAAAGTCTGATAGCTTTTTAAGTCAGGTTTAGGCAAATTGTGATAGCTCTGTTTGTCATGTCCAAAAAGGCATATTGTCGGTTTAAATATACAGGTGTCGTTTCTACCAATTTTGTGTTCGTTTTGTTTCATTCTTGCTCGTATCCACTTGAAAGTATATGGATGAAAGTTTTAACTAAATTTGGATGTTACGATCTACAAAGTTCAAACTATGGCGAATCATATCATATATGTGGTTAGAAACTACACTACATTTGACAACAGAGAAAAACGTGAGTAATAAGTATGGTATACAAAACATAACACATCCAATCGTTCAATTTGTACAACTTATCTATGATGTTTGAAATATTGTTTTTTACTAAACATTGTTCTACTAGTTTCAAAGTGAAATCGAGACCCCGTGATCCGAAATAACATGATATTTTTTTAAACTTATGGGTGCCTTTTCTACTAATTTTGTGTCTATTTCATTTCATTTTCGTTCGTATTCACTTAAACGTGTAAGGATGGAATTTTACATATATTTGGATCCACTCAAAGTACAAAGTATAGTGAGTCATACCATACATCCGGTTGTAAGCTACGCTACACTTGACAATAATAAAAAACGTAACTAACAAGTATGATATACAAAACATAACACGTATAATCGTTCAACATGTACAACTTATCCAAACATTGTTTTACTAGTTTCTTATTGAATTTCAGATCCCCCATGCCCTAAAACGACATGTGGTTGTTTTAAATGTGTAGGTGTTGTTTTTACTAATTTTGAGTCTGTTTCGCTTCATTCTCCATTGTATCCACTTGAAAGTGTAAGGATGAAAATTTTAATTATATTTGAACATTACGGCCATCACAAGTTTAAACTATAGTGAGTCACACCATACATTTGGTTGGAAACTACACTACGCTTGATAATAAAGGAAAACATAAATAAAATTTTCAATCAAAGCCTTTGATGCCATTGATAATATTGGTGAAGCGAGTAATCATATTAAATATAGGCTCATTTTGTTTCATAAGACACAATAAAATATGTTTTTGGTTCTAGCATTCAATGATAATTTTCATTTATGTTCTTCATCATATTCCTCTTTAGGTTTTGAAATTATTTGATTCGGTTTACTATCCTCTTTAATAATCTTTTTAGGCACATAAGGATCAAATTCAATAACTTCCCAAACATTATAATTTATAGTTTGAATATAAACCATCATACTAGCTTTCCGATAATTATAATGTGTGTCATCAAAAAAAGGTGGACTATTTATAGAATATTGCCCCTCAATAATTTGAAGATTGTGGTTACTCAAGATTGTGAAATCTTTTTTTCTTTTTTTAAAATAAATGAGCACCTTATTGTGATACCGATTGAAAACTCAAGAATAACTAACTAAAAGGGAGTATATTGATTTTTGAAACTTTTTCGAGAAATTTGAATAATTTATGAATAAATAAATCCATCAAGTAATATGCAAAAATACAAAGAGCGACAAATAAAAGGGAAGATATTGTGCAAACGATATAATTGTGGAGGTTCGATCCAAAACAATGATATATGTCATCTGTTACCAAACTTCAAACTCTCCAGTGCTGTTGCATGAACAGTAAAGAAAATGACTGTTACAAGAACTGGATGTCCGTATGGTATGCAACGGCACCGGAGAGTTTTGGTATTTTTCTTATTAGTTGTATTTTTCTTTTTGATGTAATTTAGAACCTATGACGCCTTTTTATTGTAATAAGACTCTTGATTATTGAAATAATCTACAATCTCCCTCATTTTCTCCTCTTTCTCGTTTCTTCTCTTAGTTGCTCTTTTACTCCTTGCACTCATCATCATTTTTGGTTATGAAGGATATTAACCACAAGTTGGTGAATTAAAATAGTTGATCATTGCGATTGATAAGCTTTATTACACGGAAAAATCCACTTAAATATGTCTACTTTAAGATTTGATGTCCCTCTGTCGTCTCCAATTCTTCCAAGCTTTTTTCCCCCACCTGGGCAGCCAGCGCAGTGCAAACGGCAAAGTGAAGGCAAGTGTTAAAAGAAGATAAGCTATTGCTTTGTTTTTCGCTTTTGTTCCTCTGAGTGTAGAACTGATTGCAAAACCATAAGTGAACATCATCGAATATAGGGATATGTGAAGTTCCCTTTGAAATGGAAATCCTCCTGTGAGATAAATTATGATGCACAGTGAAGCAGTGAGACCTAAAGAGTTGGTGAACATGAACATAAATGCAGTAGCATGAGACCCGAAAATTGCTGCAGCTGCAGCTAATCCAGATGCCTCCGCTGGTCCAATCTTAGGTCTCAAATCACCAGTTTGATTTGGAGGAGCATTGTTATCAAAAATGCCTGCCGGAGGATTCACGCCGGCTTGAAAGGAAACTGTGGCAATCAGTGCAGCCACAACTAATAACGCATTACGCGTATCGCTAGGTGAATCTCTTTGAATTTGAAATTTGAAATATTTGAACCAATTCTTTGAAGGTTCAGATGGAGGATCCAGCTGCTTCCTGATTGATCTCGTTTCTGGTGATTTTTCTGTTGTGATAGTGAAAGCATCTCGTCCCTTAATTGCCCCGGCTGCTTGTAGAATTTCTCTAATCCGGACATCATGGGAATCTTCAATAACATTGTCCAAAATATCCAGTGCTGTCAAACCCATGTCATTTGTCGCATTCACTTTTATTGTTTCTCTAATGCTGCCTTTGTTAAGGAGTAGATCTATGGTCTGCAACATGGAAGAATCCAAAGTTAAATGGAAGAATGGAATTTTGGATTCAAAACTCAACTGATCACAAGGTTCAGTTGTTGCCGGACTTCGCTTAGGGAGGAAGACATAAAAATAAACATATTCTGCATGTTCCCCCAGAAATATATTGATGGACATGATTCGAGGCTAAAAACAAACAAATAGGAGGGGGAAATTAATTATTAAGAAAATCTTGACAGAGCTGAACATACCGCATGTTGTTTTGTAAGAACTGCAATGTGCAGTACAGTGTTCTCATCACAATCTGCCAAATTTACAACTGGTTGCATGCCGAGCCTCTCCAGCCACTTGATCAAAATTCTGAACGCATCAAACTGGTAATTCTTCACAGAAAGGTGAAGGGAAGTCTCCCTATGATATGTGATATCTTGAATAGAATCTGGACACGTGGACAGCAATTCGTCGATGATATCAACTCTCCCCTTCATTGACGCATAATGAAGAGCCGTTCTTCGGTATTTGCCTTGGAGGCGACATAATTCGCCATTAGCCCTCAAAAGTTCCTTCACTATAGACAAGGCCCCCATGATTACAGCAATGTCCAGAGGCCTAAAACCATCGTTGTTCAACTCTCCAGCAATTTCAGGATCGAGTTTCAGAACTTCATGCACAAAATTAAGCCGCCTGGCTTTGGTTGCAACATGTAGAAGAGATTCTGAGGGGGATATTAGTCTTAAATCATCAAGAATTGATGGGTTTTCGTCAAGAAATTTTACAAGAACCTCAACGTTTCCAGCACGTGCAGCGTCGAAGAGTTTCTTGCTATCCATCTTTTACTATACAGTAAAAACCTTCAAGTAGGATGGATATGATGAAGGAATATAACTAATAGGTGGATTTATGTAATCTCCAAGATGAGTTCACTGTTTCTGGGGGTTAATAATATACACCAAAAACTGCTTACTTTGCAAACAAGTTAATTTGACCAAGTCAACAAATAATATCACTTACCAATTGACTATTGCACAGATTCTTCATTCTTATGTAACCAGACACCGTAATGCTGATATAATTACGCTCATTTCACAAAACTAGAATAATATTTGAATAGCGATTTTTAGGAGAATGTCTGATTAAAAAGTAGGGAAAAGTTTTGGGATTACGTGTAGAATATTTTGTTGTGTGAATGTGTGATTGAAAATAGGTACGTAAAAAAAAGAGTTTGAAAATAATGGTTATCAAACATGGGCTTAGATAGTTGGAAAAAATAATATAAATCTTGAATGAAATTATTGTAATTTTTTAGCTACGTATTCTCCAAAAAATCACTATTTCAAAACTTATTTTCCTTAAAAAAAATTCTTTTTAATAGTTGTCAAACAGGGCTAATTCTTTTGAAAACTTATAGGAAGGATCGTATGGACTTGATATATATTCAATATAAGGCCATGTCTGGGAGAACTTTTTCATTTGGAAAAATTGATTTTTTTTACTGTTATTTGGCAGAATATGGGGCCCATAGTGAGATGACAAAGTCAAAAAAATCAGGCTCCTCCTGCAACGTTCAAAAAATCCATTAAAATTGTCTTAAAATTTCTTCCATACAATGACTAAAAATAAAATAATAAGGAGCTCTTTTAGTTGTCTGTTTCGAAGGGATTGGTTTAACTAACAACAAAATTTAATGGCACCGTGACATAAGCGAAAGATTACCAAAAAATTACTATTTCAAAACTAATTTTCCTTCAAAAAAAATCTCTTTTTAATTGTTGTAAAATAGGGCTAATTCTTAACTTGAAAACTTCTAGGAAGGATCGTATGGACTGTACGTGTATATAGTCAATATAAAAATAAAATGATGAGGAGCTCTTTTAGTTGTCTGTTTCAGAGGGGTTGGTATAAACATTCAAAAAATCTCTTTTTAATTGTTGTTAAATAGGGCTAATTCTTAACTTGAAAACTTCTAGGAAGGATCGTATGGACTATTTATATAGTCAATATAAAAATAAAATAATGAGGAGCTCTTTTAGTTGTCTGTTTCAGAGGGATTGGTGTAATAGACAACAAAATTTAATGGCACCGTGACATAAGCGAAAGATTACCAAAAAATTACTATTTCAAAACTAATTTTCCTTCAAAAAATCTCTTTTTAATTGTTGTCAAATATGGCTAATTCTTAACCTGAAAACTTCTAGGAAGGCAGAGAGATTGGTATAACTGATAACAAAATCTAATGGCACCGTGACATAAGTGAAGATTAAATTAAAATGTCACTAATCCATCTGTTCCCGGTGGACTAAGCATGGCTTGATATATTACAGTTGTGATTAATATAGTTATCACAAGCAATGTATTTCGGATTTCACTTGGAGTCTCTTTAGTTTTATCATATTTGAATTTGTCCTGCAATTTCTTTTAAGGCTTTCGAGGCCTCTCTCTCCTTGTGTCGTTTGATGGATCACGAGTGGGAACAATATTGTTTCCTGATTGCATTTGCCTGTTGCACTGAAGCCCCCAAGTTAGCCTAAGCGTTTTCTTCAATTTTACTATCACCCAGAGACGGATTTAGCCGCAGGCCCTTTTTTTAGTGTAATTTTTTTTTTCTACGTATTAGTCTGACTTGTAGTCTGATCCTGAATTCGTCTATGTTATCTCCCCCTTCTAATTGTAATGCATCGATTGGTGTAAGTGATTGTTTGAATTCCCACAAGTGTACGGTATTGCAAACAAGTAATAAATTGAAAAGTAGGATATCGTTTTCATGAGGATTATGTACTTAATCTAGCGTAAATCAATTGTAACTTTAATCGAATAGCCAAGTGTGTTCGAATGATTTATACTAATTAATCTAATTAAACTAACAATTCTAATGAGCAATTATGGAGTTTTTGTAAATTAATATGAGATATTATTAAGACATCAAATGCCTCTTATTAATCCGTTACGATGCAATTCAATACATGACAATATGTGCATATTCTTGTTGATTAATGGTCCTAAATTAATTAAAAAAATCTCTCGATGTCAATTAAATCTATCATCTCATTTGACCTTCTTATATTTCTATAAAGATGTGAACATGAAAGTATGCATTAAAAACGTTACAACGTCCACATAAAGCATGCACTATGCCCTATTAGACTTTGCAATAATTGTTATAGGCCAATTGAACGAGAGTGAAACGAGAGTGGTAGTTTTATCCAGAGTGACTGTGCAAGATCCGATTCAGAGTGAATAGGCACTGCACCCGAGATCTCTTTCGTTGAAAGAATTGTAGGCTCCGTCATCCCATACTCTCGCTTACTCGAGAACAATAAAACTCATAACATTTCAATTAGAAGGCAATTAATTGAAAAACATTAAGTTTTATAACAATCATTCAAGAATGAACATATCAAATTATTGTATTTATATTAAGAATTTTATAATAAAGGACTATCCAAGTCTTAGTAATTGAAACCCTAACCTAGCATTACAAAATTGCAAGAATTCACAATTAATTGAAAAAAATATAACCCGAATTATGGATAAATTGAGAAGTTGAAGAATGATCATAATCTCTAGATTTTCTTCAATTGTATCTTGACGAATCTCCAATGTTTCACTCTCTCCTTTTCCAAGGATCAAGGTTGAATCTTCAATTTGATGAAATCTTGAATTTGCCCTTAATTATCTCACAAGAACAATGTATTTGCCTCTCTTTAATTGATGTAATTGATGAATAACGATGTATGAGAGGTGCCTTCAATGTTGTGCCAACGTTCTCTATTTATTTTAATTGAAAATAGGTCAAAATTTTGTAAAAATTAGTTTCCAAAAGGTATTTTAAGCAAAATAGGAAAACTAAAACGAGGTCCCAGAATCGCCCTATCGCGCCCGAGTAGGCCATTTTAGCCTTTTGCTCTTGGGTTCCTCAAACAGGAAGGGCTCGGGCGCGCCTCGTGTATTTCACAGAATGCGCGTCATTCACCCTTTTGAAGGGTGCATTTTAGTTCCTAAATTTTGATTCTTGATTCCTTTGCGTCTTTTTCTCATGCAATTTTCTTCCTTCAGTGGCATCCAATTGAATCTGAAAAATCTTAAATCATCGTCTTGTGGTCCGAATCAACTATTGAAAAGTTACAATTTAGTCACCGAGCTTTGGAAATCATCATTTTTGCCTATTTTTTGTTTCTTTCTTTCAATTCCATTTTCAATCATCAATTTTCCCCTAATAAACTAAACATACAATAAATTAGGCTATAATTAATCAATAGAACTATAAATCTCTATATTTTTAGGTTTGAATAAGTGTATAAATATACTTATAAAACACCCCAAACTTAAATATTTGTTTGTCTTCAAACAAAATCATAACCTAACTCAACAAACATTCAAGAGAATTTTGGTTAGGTAACTTGACATTTTGTCTCAGTATTGGAATCATTATATCAAATTCATAACTAGCGAAGGCCACAATATGTAAATCAATATCAACTTCTCCAAGCCAAAATGATGTGTGTGTTTGTGTGTGAAGAATCAAATATATCATTATAAATGCACGAGTTACTTCAATTCCTGACCCTCGATGGTCAAATTTATCATATCTTCACTCTTAAGATTCACATACCCCCAATCTAGTTCATTTTTTTTTACTCTTCTCTCAAGGTGTGATCTAAGGTTAAATTTTTATACTAACTGCTCATCTTCTCTAGTTTAGATGGATCTCACTGATTACAAGTCAATATATCAACAAATAAGAATTCTCCAATTTTTTGATTACTTCAACCTCCAAAACTCAATTAGGCTAATAATCCCTGGTTAAAGATCTAATTCTCTCAAATAAGTGTTTGAGGCTTAACCAAGATATGTAGTATGTTAAATTTTTTTTTTACATATTATGTGTGGACTTAGCCATTAAGGCCCCGTCTGACACCTATTATTTTGAAGAATGAGTTTTTAAATAGTGATTGATGTAAAGAATGTGTGGTTAAAAAGTAAGAAGAATTTTTGGGTTTATGTGTAATATTATTTTATTTGAAGAATGTGTGGTTAGAAATGAGTACTGTAGAAAAATGAGAATGAGAATGAGATAAAAAATGGGTGTCAAACAGGGAAGAATGAGTTTTTGAATAGTGATTGATGTAAAGAATGTGTGGTTAAAAAGTAAGAAGAATTTTTGGGTTTATGTGTAATATTATTTTATTTGAAGAATGTGTGGTTAGAAATGAGTACTGTAGAAAAATGAGAATGAAAATGAGATAAAAAATGGATGTCAAACAGGGGCTAAGTTTTCTAAATAACTCTTGTACTAAGCTTTTAGCTGATGACGCTCAAGTCAGATAACTATAGGGAATCAGATTTGAAATACCCTTGCATGCTTAATCACTCGAATCATAAAGGTCATGGAGAAACAATTCACAATGAGGCAGCTTTTTTTTTTTTCGCTATGACTAGTGCAATGCTCCTCATTAAATGCTCATTCTTAAAAATCGACCCCTAACTTAAGATTTTCATCCAATTTTTATCTTATTAGCCTTAGACAATCCATACAAGAATTTACACATATGTAATTCTCATTCATATCAATATCTTTCTACAGTAGTTCGATCATCCTCAAATTATGCTAAACTTGGTTTAAAAATGTATAATGTAGCTAATAATCTTTGGGTTTAGCATCTAAGTCTTTTTTCAACCTATCAACCATATGAATCAACTCATTACTTCACAATACTAAAATTAATTCACGTGCGCAAATAATATCGAGTTTTACATAGATAAGAATCAATTAATCTAAGTATGTAACCTATTCGCAATTCACAAATTAATATATAATTCCAAATATATATCC